ATCCAGATTCTGCAATCATCGTTCTTGCAGCCTCTTTTAACGTTCTGTTCCTTCTCTCTGCTACGCCATTCTGTTGAGGGGTTCTGGTGGCAGAAAGTTGATGAAAAGTTCCATTCTGATCACAGAAATCCTTTATAACTTGGTTGACAAATTCAGTTCCTCTGTCTGATCTGATTGTCTTCACTTTCAAGTTCTTCTCAGTCTGAAGTTGCTTTAACAGAGATGGCAACTTCTGAAGAGTTTCATTTTTCTTTGACAGAAAAACAGTCCATGTATATCTGGAGTAGTCATCAACCATGACTAAGGTATATTTCTTGCCACCAACGCTCGGAGTCTCAACAGGTCCAAATAAATCCATGTGAATCAGATTTAGAGGACTTGTAGAAAGATCTCCAGCAATGGGTTTGAAGGAATTTTTCACTTGTTTGCCTCTCTGACATGCGCTGCAGAGGGTCTCCTTCTTGTACACAATGTCTGGTAGCCCTTCTACAATGTGTTCTCTGGCCAGTTTGTTGATTGTTTTGAAATTCAAATGGTTGAGCTTTTTGCGCCAGTCCCAGCTCAGTTTTGAATCTCCCTTGGCTATCAGGCAAACTCCATCTTTTGCAGTGTTCCAATCAACTACATAGATGTTCTTCTTCCTTGATGCTGTAAGAACCACTTCCTTTGTTGTCTCATGCTTCACATAGCAGAAGTCCTTTGTGAATTCAACAGTGTAGCCTTTGTCACAGAATTGGCTAGCACTTAGCAAGTTGAACTTCAGTCCTTTGACATAAGAGACATCATCAATGGTTATCTGGTTCCTGATCAGCTTTCCTCTTCCTTTTGTTTGACCTTCTTTGTCATTACCTCCAAAGGTAACTTCAGGTCCTTTGCATTTCTGGAACTCTGTTAGGCAACTTCTGTCACCTGTCATGTGCCTGGAGCATCCACTATCAATAAACCATTCTTGTTCAGAGATGACTCCAGCACACAGTTCCTGCAAGATCAAAAGAAAGATTTAGGTACCCAAGCAATGCTGGGTCCTGGGGGGTCATGGAGTCTGGGTAGTTGGTACCATTTTGGTCTCATCAAGTGAAACCTTGGTGGGTGGTACCCATTGTCCACCTGGTAGTTATAGTAAACTGAAGTGTGATTCACTTTGGGCAGATGCTTGTGAGGGTCATGCTTCCTGTTTACATACTTTTGCATAGCTTTCTTTGTTGGAAAGAAGTCTCATATACTATCAAGAGCAGAGGGACGGTTAACCTTGGGCTTCTGAAGTTGACCATCCAACCTCTTCTGCCTGAGGTTAACTTTCTCTTGATATTTGCCCTTCTGGTGATCATTTCTGGCACGATTGACATGAGGTTGTCTATCAATGAATGGTCTTTTATTTTTGTTATTTTGAAAACCTCTTCTGTTGTTAGGTTTTCTGCCAGGTTCATTATTTTTCAAAAAGGGTTTCTGTTGAACCTTTATCTTGCCTTTTTCTGGTCTGACTTCCTCATGAACAACCTTGGTGCCAGATACACCAGCTTGACAGATGGGGCTAGAAATCAGTGGCTCTATGACCTTATCTGTCTTAGCAACTCTGGTGGTAGGCATTACAGAAGGCTCACCTGATTCTGTTGAGCCATAACCAAGACCAAAACCAGTGCCAATCTGTTGATCAAGCACAATCTTTTCCATGGAAGACTGGGCCTTCTGGTAAGCTTTGTACTTAATCTCGAGAGGCTCTATTTCTCTTATTCTCTTAAGAAGAGAAACATTTTCAGTCTCCAGCTGATCTCTTTCCTCAATTAGAAGATTGATTTTGATCTCAACCTCTTTCTTTAAGTCAAGAATTTCAGCTTTCAACTTACTGTTTTCTTCTGTTACAGAAGAATAAGTGGCTTGTATGGCCTTAAACTCTTCCCAAAATTCTGACATTGAATCAGAATCAAAAGCTAAGCCTACCGAAGAAAAATTAGATTCAGAAGTAGAGGTTACCTCATCATCAGAATGAGCCATGAGGCAAAGGTCTTCTGTCTCAGTATCAAGGCAACAGAAGGCCTCATCAGAATCTGAGTCAGAACTGGATTCTGTTTCTGACAGAGGGTCTTTCTCCAGCTGTTCTGTCACAAGTGCCTTCCTTCTTCTGGAGTTGTCCTCGTACTTCTTCTTCTCTCCATCATGTCCTTTCTTCTTGGACACTCTAGGATGGGGACAATCAGCCTTGAAGTGACCAGGTTGTCTGCAATTGTAACAGAGAAGCTCTCCACTGCTTTCTGTTGATTTGACCTTCTGGTATGGCTTTCTGTTGAAAGATGGACTCCTTCCATCTTTGGGATTCTTCATGAACTTTTTGAATCTCCTGGAAAAGGCAGCCATATATTCATCAGATAAAAGTACTGAAGGGTCAAAATCATTTACCTTAGATATGCTGGCAGTGAGGGCTGTAGTGGTCCTCTCTTCTGTTACATCTTCCTTCTCTTCAATCATTTCAAACTCATTAGCTTTGAGATCTGAAATGAGCTTATCAGTGGGATAAGTCTTTACATCCTTGCTGGCTTGGACAACAACTACCTTCATCTTCCATGCTGAGGGCAGTCCCCTCAACACCTTCAGGTTGATCTCCTTGGTTATGAGATCCTTGCCAAGCTCAGAGATCTCTCCAGTGAGAGTGAGGAGCCTGTCATACATCTTGGAGATGCTTTCACCAGGGAGAAGTTTGAAGTCATCAAACTTCTTGTTGGCTATGGTTAGTTTGTTGTCCTTCTCTTGCTCATCACCAGCTCCAATGAGCTCAAGAGTATCCCAGATTTCCTTAGCAGTCTTGCACTTCTTGATTCTGTTGAAGTACATATCATCAATGGACTTGTAGAGGATGTCCTTGGCAATATTGTCTAGGTTGTACTTTCTCCTCTCTTCAGTGGTCCATTCTGACTTGGCTTTACTAATCATCTGGGGTCTGGTGTTGTCTATGGCATGTTCAGGATTGACCTTCTGGAAGCTAGTGAAGGGGCCAATGTCAAGAACTTCCCACATTTCATCATGCAGGGCACAGAGATGTGCTTTCATCCGGATCCTCCAGTCATCAAACTTAAGATCTGAAAACATAAGATTCTTGGACAAGGAGTGATCCATTATATCAGATAGAAATGAGGTAAAACAGAAAAACAAGTGGATCTTTGTTCAACAAATAACCTAAGAGATTATTAGAACAAGGAGGCTCTGATACCACTTGTTGGTCCCGGTTATACTGGACACAGTCTAGAGGGGGGGGGGGTGAATAGACTGTGTTGGTTTTTAGCTTTTTAGACTAAGTACCAGATTTACAGAATAGCCTGTTCTGTTGAAGGAACAGACTGGCAGCGGATGGGGTTCTGGTAGGGAGTTCTGTTAGCCTCAGAGAAGCAGTAGGCAGTAGGCCTTCTGTTAACTCGTAGAACAAGTTCTGCTGAACACAGATACCAAGTCCAAGGAGTTATACAGTTCTAACTAAGTACAAGTATTAAAAGCAGTAAATAAACGACACCAGGGATTTTTATAGTGGTTCAAGGAACAACTCGTTCCTCTAATCCACTGTTCCACTAAGCTGTAAAAACTGCCGTTTACAAAGCCTTAGTCCTAGCACTTAAGAAGCACTCCACGTCTTCTTCAAGCCTAGATGTGTCCTGGGATGCACTGCCTGGCTTCCTTTAACACTGGTCCTTTCACTGAGTTTCTTTGAAGTATCACCACTTCACTACTCCAGTTATTTGGACGTCCTTCTTGTAGCAAGAAGAGTTTCTGTTGAAACTGGGGTTCCTCCAATTAGCTTCGTTACAAAATATTTGTATGTGATGAGCTTGAAGAGTTGAAGAACACTTGGAACTTTGCTTGAGTTGGAAAGAGTAATTTTCCAACTTCTGTCTTCTCTTGTAGAAGATAATGAGTTTGAATCTCAAGGAGGCTTTTTGCTTTTCAAAGTTTGAATATCTTGCTTGTGGTGATGTGATCTTGGCAAAGTTATAGCAAAGTTATCCGGTTGTTCTTCGTAGTGTATCTTTTATACTGAGGTTGTCTTCCTGTTGGAGGAGTAGGAGGACAACTGCATTTAATGCGCGATCAGTTGACTTGACTAGTAGAGCCCGATAAAGTTGGCGGGTTACTATTTTGGGATAAAGTATTCCTGACATTGCGGCCAATCATCTGCAATTACTCTACGTAGCATGGGGTGCATTAAATGAGCATTTAATGCACGCACTGTAGCTTTTCCGTTTCATACTCCTAGCCGTTGAAGGAATCTTTTAGTTGTCTTCCCGGTTCTTTGAAAATCTTCTAAGTGTCAGACCTTCTGGTGTCTTTGTCTGAGAGTAGAACAGAGGAGGCCTGGAGCACTTCTGTTGGGAGTATCCAACAGAGACCCAGAAGGGTTTCTGTCAGAGTCAAGACTAACAGAGATCCTGAGGACTTCTGTTCTAGAGCAGAGAACCAAAGGTCCTCTGTTTCAATAAAGTCTTATGAGGCACTTCTGCTCTTGAAGTCCTTCTGCTCTTGAAGGTCTTCTGTCAAGTCGAATACATCTAAGAACTTTACAAAGGAAAATTCTAATACATAATTTCTAAAGGGGTACTCTAAGATCCTAATTAATCTAGCATCATCAAAATCTAATTACAATTATTCCTTACACATAACTCAATGAGTAAGAACATTTATCATTACACAAACATTATATTCATTACTACATGTGGTACAAGTATAGGTGCAATCGAGTTTTTCTTTTTAATACTCACCCCGTCCCATTTCTTATTCACTTGGTCAACACAAATCACTCTTAATCTCTTACTTTATTTATCAATTTTTTATCAAATTTGATTATGGTTTTTGCGACTTTGTAAAACTTTTAATTTAGTTTCTGAATATGCAATTTTTTTCCTAAAAAGAATTCTAGTATGGACAAAGATATGTTTGCTTTATCGTCAGTCAAACATCGTAAACCGCAATGGGACAATTAGAGGGGGGCGGAGGTAGTAATTGTTTTCTTTTCATCTTTAGCTTGTTCAATTTTGTATATTTATTTACGGTTAAATGTTTAGTAATTTCAAATTATATTTATATGGGAAAAACTATCAAACAGGTCCTCCTACAATATCAAAAAAGTCAATTAAGTCCTCGTACTTCAAAAACAACCGATCACATCCTCCAACTCGTAAAAAACAATCAATTGGATCTTTTAACCGGAAAACAACCGGTCACCCAGTTAACTTACACACGTGGCAATCTTTTCATTTTCATTTTTTCCATTTTTCTTTGTCTTTTTCCCCTTCTCTTTCGCATGGCAGTCTTCTCCCGTCAACCCCCAACTGCAACATCCTTTTCTCTTTCTTTCTTTCTTTCTTTCTTTCTTTCTTTCTTGAATCTTGACCCTTCTTTCATTCTTCATTTTCGCAAGTTCAGCGATTCAGAGGAGGACAAGTGATTCAAGCGACAGTTTGGGCTGCTGTCACATATCATCTTTTCCGGTCAGCGCAATCCGCTCTTGGGTCTTCTGATTCAGTGCTTCTCAATCCATCTGCCCTCTCCTCTATTGCAAAATCTGGTCAGCGTCGGCGAATCGGCGTGGTGGCTATTGCGATGTCCGCCGGAGGTTGTTGAAGTTCTTCCGCGAGTTTACCGGCAATTTTACCGGCAAGTTTATCTCCATGTTAATCCGCTGCTAGAGTTCGTCATCCAACAGAATGATTGGTGTTGTGTGAGTTGGGTACTTCGGTGGGTTTGTAGAAGAAAGGAGGAAAAAAGAGTTCTTGGTTTGGTTGTTGGTTGCTTGATAGAAGAAAGAAGTCAAGGAGAGAGAATCAAGAAAGAAAGAAAAAAAGAAAGAAAGAATTAAAGAAAGGAGAAAGAATTGCAGCCTTGAGCCTTGAAGAGGTACGGGTGGAGGGAAAAGAAAGAAAGAAAGAAAGTAGAGAAAAAAACTAAGAAGGAACAAAAAAGGAAAAAGAAAAAAAAATGCCCCAAGTCATCTATTACCGGTGCAATTCAAAACCAACCGGTTAAACATTCAAATTGGGTGTTTGTTTTACACTTGAGAGACTTAATTGATTGATTTAATTGTACGAGGACTTAATTGACTTTTTCAATATAGTATGAGGACTTATTTGTCTGTTTTCTCTATTTATATGCGTTAGCGGTTTAACGATGAAACACATTAATAGGTAATTTTCTTTCTTAATGATTAACTGATAACATACAATAATTACACAGATGTAATACTATCAATTCTTATATCGGTTCTTCTCCAACTTTTAGAACCTAATCAATATGGAATTAACGGTTCTTCAAATGCTTCATAATTTTCTTTCAAGAACTTAATCGATCTCAACCCTACATTTTTCTTCACAAGACGACATGTAAAATATCACTTTTTTATTTTTTTAAAAATTGAAAAGATAAGTTTATCTTGTGTATCAGTATTAATGTAGAATCTTTTTGTTCAACTTTATTTATCGTAAAATGATACTCCATCCGGTTCTGAAAGATCTTTACACTTTCCTTTTTTGGCAGTCCCAAAATTATCTTTAACACTTCTTATTTGCCTTACAAATCTACACAAAACAGTGCCAAACAGTGTCAAAAACAGTGTCAAACTCCTTAATATTTGTGAAGTCAAAGTGTAAAGATCTTTCAGAACCGGAGGGAGTAGAAAAAAAATCAAAATTTAATATTCAAATCTTGCATACTTAGACCATCTTGATGCCCACCTCCCGGTCGGTACTAGTCCAGGACTTGTTGACCGATTTGTGATCCCGGGGTAAATAATTAGTGAAATCTGCAATCAGACCTAAGCGTACTTGTGACGAGTAGAAAACAACTAGAAAAGTCAACAGAAATCTTTTTTGAGGAGAAGAGACAATTGAAGAGAAATAATGTACTAAAAATGAGTTAAAAGTCCATAAGAATCCGTTATTTTAGAAGTCAATAAGAATGAACGAAAATTTGAATATGCCCAGACTTTTACTTTAAAAAATCTTCATTTAGGTGACAACTCCGATACCTTTCTAAAAAATGGGGTACCGTACCTATCATTCATTTGATTGGACCACACCACTTTATCATTTTTAATTTAGATTTAAATAATTCAACTGCTACATTCTCATTGGTCCACGTGGATAAAGATATGGTACCTTATGGGTACCGTACAATAAACCATACATTTAATAAATATAGACTTTTGTAAACTTTTGTAAACTTTTAAAAGTTGAATACACTGCTTTTAAAATGTTTATAAAATTTTAGTTATGCAATACACCCACTGAGAATACACACACATTTATATACAAATAGATTTTATAAAGGCGTGATCAGATATGGGCTGCAGACAAGGAGTTGCAGAGGAAGGCAACGCCGCCGTCTCCGACGTTTTGTTGCTCACCACAATGTGCATCGTCGGCCTTCCGGTTGATGTTCATGTGAAGGATGGCTCTATTTATTCCGGTATATTCCACACTGCTTGTGTAGACAACAACTATGGTGAGTTTCATTAGTATCTGAAATCCTTTATTGGATCTTCTTAATCATGCTTACATATAGATTTATTGTCAGCTGAAATTGTTTTCGATTTGACCATTCTGTTATCTGATCTGACTTCACTAGAGGGGGTAGAACTTCAATTTCTTTTTTCTTATCCAGTTGGTAAGATTCACACTTAGATGGATGCAACAATCTCTTACGTAGAATAAATAAGTTTAATTGTTTGTTCGATTTAGAGCATCAGGGTTCTTAGTTTGCTAATTATGTGTACTGGCCTTATTCACAGAGTATTTTGTGAAGGATTTATATATTAAAGAGCACATTAGCCAGGCTTATTTGGTCAACAAATGTGGTGCACTCTATGGGTTACTCAATTTGATTGATCTAATGACTCACAACAACTTTTTAATGCATAAAACACTTTGACACAAAATGTGTGAGTGTATATAACCAATCACAGTTAGTGACATAAAGTGGAGCACAATTGTTTACCGAAGGATCTTTAGTGGCTCTCCATATGTGTGGAGCCATTGGATCTCCTCCACCATCAAGAGTGGGTCCCATCAAATATCTTGAAGTCGAATGCTGCATATTGAAAACTTTCGTATTTTGTTTACAAAACTAGACACTGGGTTGGAGTGACTTATTTCCATGCCTATTGGGATAGCGATTGTTTTGAAGAAAGCAACAATGGTCAAGAAGGGGAGTAGGGAAGCAAATGTAACTAGCGGAAATGTCATAGAGACGCTTGTGATTCTATCTGAAGATCTGGCACAAGTTGTTGCTAAGGTATCTGCAGATTTCCCTTCGCATATTGCATCATCATGTATGTATACCAATATCTGAGCTTATGACATCTTCCAACACACATTACATTCCTCTTTACAGGGTATTACACTTCCCAGTGATGGTATCCCTGGACATGTAAAGCGTGATGACGGCGGAGCCGTAGTTGATGATATTCATTCCCCTGAGGATGTAGAGAGGGAGACCAAGTCTTCAAATCCTGATGAGTCTAATAGAAAAAGGTTGTCTTGCAACAATTTACTAAGTGTGCGTTTTGGTTTTAGTTTGTAAAAGCTTATTGGCGGAAAGTAGACTGTATAAACAAAGCTTAGTAAAAGTGAGCTGATACCAGTGATTTTTATATTCAAGTCTGTTCAGTATTTTCAGTGAATTTGAGTGTTGTTTGTATAACATGAGTATTAGTTATAATTTGCCTCAAAGCACGTTGCAAAAGTTAAAAGAAACAACAAGCTGTGTTTGCCAAAGGCACTTTCAGATAAATGCAGACGTGCTTTCCACATTTTGAAAAATGAAAAAAAAAATCGATTTTTTTTTTGTTTCAACATGGACACTGAGCCACATGTTATGCTTCCTTTCTACTTAGGAATTAGGATTCATGGATCCATTTTGACCTTTTTCTGTGTTTTTTCACTTCTGAGTTATGATAGGAGGGCTCAAGAAAGAAAGAATGAGGGGAGATCGGACAGAAGGGAGATCACTGCATTTCATCAAGGGCAAACTGTGAGTTTAACTTACAGCACACTACAACAGATAATTTCGTAAGAGCATGCCCCATTGGTTCGGAGGCATGAAGAGAATATTAAATGGGTCCCAACTTGACATAATACAAATCTAATGTCCATCTCTTTTCCACATTCTTATGTCCATGTAACTACTATTTGTGTGCCCCCTTAGCGATATTGCCCCCCCCCCCCCCCCCCAATATCTAGCAATGTTTATAATTTCCTCTCCAATAAATATGCATTTGGGCTCCACCTTGGTAAATATCATCCCCACATTTCTGTCTCAGTGCCAATATCCCTTCTACATTCATTGTATATATTACTTGATGGTTAGAGATATTATGGATAGCATCCCTCAAATACATTCCCAATATGGTTTCTTTATTAAAGAATTCAGAATTTCAATTTTTCGGAATGTGTTGCAGTAATTGCATTATCTAATGATTTGCAGCGGCAAGAAGATCAAGGCTCAAACCCACAAGGTGAGTGTATTTGTGGTGTTTCATTTGTTCTTTCATTCATTTGAAATTTAGTTCTGGTGGATTTGTTTTATTCTGATACTCCATCCGTGGTTATTTTCTACTTGTAGCTGGTCAAAATTTTAAAAAGCGCTGGACCTGAGTCACTAATCGGGTGGTGGCCTGCCACCTATGCATCCATTTTTTTACTTTTTTTTAATCATGGTTTATGATTTTTAGCTTTAATTATCAATGTTTTTTTAGTTTTTGTAATTAAATAGTTCACATACCTCCTAATCTATGAAGCACGGAAACTTCCCGCGGCTCATGTTTCCCCGTTTCAGAAACTCGGGTGCATTTCGGAAGCTTCAAATTCCCATTTCGGGTCCGTTTATGTAATTAAGAAGAATTGGGAAACCCACTTTCCTAAATAATTAGCGTTTTTGGAAATTTGGGTTTCCATTTTTTTCTTTTTGATGGGATTCTTTGATTGAAAATAGTGACTCTTAAAAAAATTAGTGAATTTATATGTAATATCTAACTAGCAACATTGTGATATTTCATACACAATGCATTGCTAGAAATGTATTGCATTTTATGTTTAATTATGTGCTCATATGCAATAATTTCTAAATTTGGACATGTAGAATGTATTTATTATTGGTTACCAAACAAAGTTATATGAAAATTAATATGTGCATATATATAAATGAAAATAGAGGTAAGGATGCGTACATCCGACCCCCCTTACCCCACCGTAGGTGGTAGGGCCTTTGTGGCACTGGGGTAATGAATAATAATGATGATATAAATGAAAAAACATGTATAAACTATACATATGAAAAATATTATTAAATTTAAATATATCCTTATATTTTTATTTCTTACGTGTTTCCCCTACATTTTGTATCCTATATATTTTTTGAAATTCCGTTTATCGCGTTTCTCATTTTGCGTTTCCGTGCTACTTAGCTCCTAATATTATGTTTATTTTTGTCGTAAACTTCGAAGTGATGAAAAATAAAATAGTTAACAGAAAAGTTTAAAATGATTCTCTCTTTTTGCAGTGCGTATGTGCCAATCTCACTGCAATGCTTTCAAGGAAAGCTTGGGACAGTCACCTGTTATTGCTTGTTCTGACACTCCCATTGTGTCATTGGCCAAACTTGAAATTAATCAAAAATCTGGTATTTCTCCATCTGGTGTTCCAAAAGAAGGTACATCTGTTTCAGATGTTACGCCTTCTAAAGTTTTCCCCAGTTCATCACATTTTCAGACTGATCTAGTGCCTCCAAGAAGTTCAACCTGCAACAAATCTGCAAAGGCAAGTTAAATGTTGTAGTTTGGCCCTTGTTGCAAGTATTTTAATCTTTGTGCTTGTATTGGTTTTTTTTGCAACCACCTCATAAACCATAAAGCTCTGCAACTGTCTCAGGATCATATTATGACATTAAATAGTTAAATGCACATTAATTCATTACTGATAATTTATAATTGGATCAGGGTCATTCATTCAACTGAGCTTAATGAACATCTGGCATATGACACAAATTAGCTAGTCTAACTCAATGCCTAATAATCCCATGTGTATTTCTTTGTTATTTCCAAGTGAAACTTTTAATATTTGATACTTTGAGTGGACAACCGGATATCTTCGAATCTAACCGATTGGTCACTTGCAATAGGACTATGTTATCTTAGTATACTCTACTTTGTGTACATTCATTCAACAGCAGTTGTTGGTAGCACTCGTTTGTAAAAAGTTCATGTTACTATTTGATTTTCATTGAAAATTTAGCATTTGATTCTTATCGTACATGCCAGGAGTCTAAGCTCAACCCAGGGGCCAAGATATTCCGTCCATCTCTTATTCGCCAAAGAGCTGTTAACCCTCCTGCAATGCAAACAATGGCTTATGTGCCTCAGTCATGTCATGTGGTACCAGTTGCTACTCCTGAATCCGAAGTTGAAATCGGTGCATCTCTTCCTCCTCGGTCTTCTCTCCCTATTAAGCTTTTCCAATATAACAGTTTGGTTGCAGGAAATGGCAACATTGATGTACAGTATGTCCAACCTGTAAGTATTCTTTTATATTATTGGCAGAGCAAGGGAGGGGCCATACTGGCACATCCCAAATTTGGTCTATTTAATTCTTTGTATGCTCTTTTTAATTTTTTATGTATCCTACAATGCAAACTTGTGTGAGAAGTTAGCTCTACCCCATCCAAATCTTGTCCAATTATATCTATATGCAAATGTTTTCAGTACCTGCATGAAGAAATGCAGAATGTGTAAGAAGTTAGTTTGAATGAAGAGGCCAATGTAGGATTTTAAAGTTTTTATTTTCTATGCAGTTGCTGACTTGTAAACCCTTTTCATTTTAGAGAGTAAAATTTATAAAGAATATGGATACACAATTTTTCCGCTCTGTAGTATGAGCCAGTCCAATATTAGTTGTTGTTCATGCCACTGTCTGATATAATTGTCCATTTTTAGTGTTTCTATTGTAGATTTCATATATGGTGCATAATTTTTTTATTTACTTAACCAAAGGACTATTTTTTGTACATAAATATGTAGGATACACAGTTGCTGACTTGTAAACCCTTTTCATTTTAGAGAGTAAAATTTATATAGAATGTGGATACACAATTTTTCTACTCTGTAGTATGAGCCAGTCCAATATTAGTTGTTGTTCATGCCACTGTCTCATATAATTGTCCATTTTTAGTGTTTCTATTGTAGATTTCATATATGGTGCATAATGTTTTTATTTACTTAACCAAAGGACTATTTTTTGTACATAAATATGTAGGGAATGGGATACACTGGAAACAGAACAGTGCCTAGGTATGGTAGTCAGTATGATCCACCTCTGGCTGGGACTGGGTATATGCATCCTATCACAGAAAATGTATGCAATCATATTGTTAATCACCAACCCGCTTTATTTTAATTAAACTTTCTCTTGTTTGGGAAACTTCACCCCTAATGTATAGCATATGATACATCAAGGCTATGTTTGGACAAACGAACTAAAGCTGAATTCTATTTTCTGGAGCTAGATAAAATCTGCTAAAACTGAAATGCTAGTTGAATGAGGTAGACTCGTTTGGTTGCACAGCTGAAATAACGACTGAAAAATGTTAAATTTGAATAATGGGAGGGTAAAGTTGACATGAGGAAATTTTAAATTAAAGAGCTGAACTGAAATGCTACAATTAATAAAGTTGTAAGTAAGCTGATTAGTTTTAGATTCAGCCAAGTTTAGCTCTTCGTCCGGACAAGGCTACACGTGAATTAATTGTCTAGATCAATCAAATTTCGTTTCATGCTGTGCTGAAATCGTCATACAATGATAGAACTCTCACAGATTGGTATAGAATGGAGAGAAAGGAAAATAGTATTTAAGAAGGAATTCAAGCTTTCAAAAATGGTGAAAAGATTACAGAGAGTTCCCAAAAAAAGAGATACCAATATCTCAGTTCCTCCTAGTCCCAATTAACTGTCTAACAACCTATCTTTATTACACACTCCCCTCCTATTTATACTACTCTAGCTAGTACTCTTCTTATTTACTATTATTCTACCGGGTCCCTAATAGGACTCCGGCAGAATAGCACTAATAATAATAAGAGTAATAATAATATTAGAATAGTTAGTATAAATAGAGGTGGAGGGTAGAATAGAAGAGAGCTTGGAATTGTTATTTGGGCTTGGGACTTGGAGAGTTGGCACTCTTAAACTGCCTTTGTATTTCTCTCTCTACATTTTCTGTTATACGACAACTTCCACTGTTACGCACATCTTCCTTCTTTCATCTTTTACTTCTTGAAATCACTGTGAATTAGCCAGGTACCTAACATTGGTATCAGAGCACCGTTTCTGACACATGTCCATGGTTGCGACGCGTAGAACGATGGAAGGAAAATTGGACAGTTTCGAACGCGAGCTGGAACATCATCGCGAAGAGTTGCGGCATGAGATGGCTGAGTTGCGCGCACTGTTGATAAAGCAGAACGATGGACAAACGACAAACGACATGACAGTCCAACACAATCATACTCCAGAGAGAACATGGAGCAGGAGAAGAATTGCGAAGGGGCCAGACGCACTAATGAAGAGTTACACGAATTAATTCTGCAGAGGAATGATCGCCACTCAAGCGGAAAATTTAAAACAACAAAGCGAAGCAAGAAACATGACAGTAGCGAATCTGCTTCGTCTTCTTCAGGTAATCATTATTCTTCACGAAACAATGATTATAGCAAGTGGATGGAGAAATCTGGAAGGAAAGTAGATTTACCAGTATTCAATGGGGATGAGGTATACGGATGGATAATTAAGATGGAACTATACTTCCAACTCAATGCTATTGCGGAAAAACTTAAGGTTAGAGTAGCAGAAGAAACAATGGAGGAAAGGGCGTTAGACTGGTTCCAATGGTGGGAAATTGAAACTAGGTAAAAGAATTGGGAAGTTCTGAAGGAAGCTACAATTCGGAGATTCCAACCTACACGCAGGCGGAAGACAGAAAACCGGACTCACAGGTCTACCAGTTCGCAGGTCTCAGTTCGCAAGGCTCAAAGAGCGACTTATCTCAATTCGCAGGTCTCACAGCAGGTTTCATCGCATATTTCCGCTTCTCACAGTCCGCAAGTTGAGTCAGTTTCATTTCTGCAGCAGTCTGGGAGTCAGCAACAACCTAACTCTGAAGATACATTCATCAATGATGATGAGGAACCAGAGGTAAAAACTTCTGTGGTGATTCAGTCCATTGCCATGGAATATGAATATGGCGTTGATAAAATTGTTGGTTCAAATACTTGGGAAAGCTCTACAGAAACTGTCCGTACAGAGGAAACTGGGGAAATAGAAGAGGAGGTTTGATAGTTTGAGCTATGTTCACGGTTATAATTCTGATTTTATTAAAGTAGCTAACAATAGGGATGCTGAAAAGGTACTGCACCACTATCATGTCACAGAAGACGAATTAGAGGTCCATGGTTGTCCTAGTGTGAATTATAATCAATACTTTGGTGGTGATGTTACGTACTGGAATCATCTTGGCGGGATTCAACAGCTCTTAGCTATTGGGAAAGCAGATGGAAGACTGAACGTCGTTAAAAAGGAACACACTTCCTACTGCATTACTACGCTGTGGTTTCCACCAGTTTCTACAGAGTACTCTGGAAAAGAGAATCAGTCGAGCTGTTATGCATCAATGCTGAATATCCTGCTAGTTGGCATACCACCAATAGACTGTGTCCAGTTACTTTCTCTTGATGGCAAGGATTTTCAACTCGTTGAGTTTCTGATAATCATCTGTGAAGTGTTTGGAGCATGTATTCCGAATGTCTCATGGACAATGCTAGTAGGAGAGAAAGTCACAGCTCATTTTGAAATTTCTAATGTGTTTTCTGTACTTTTTAAGTTGGGAAGTTCTAACCATCCACCTATTGAGTATGAGGCTGGATATGTGCCGCCCATGAGTGAACACCTCGGAACAGGGAAGGAGTTGTTGACAGTTAGGAAGGAAGTTAGCTTATTTCAGAAGTTAGCTTACTACGCTGTGGTTTCCACCAGTTTCTACAGAGTACTCTGGAAAAGAGAATCAGTCGAGCTGTTATGCATCAATGCTGAGTATCCTGCTAGTTGGCATACCACCAATAGACTGTGTCCAGTTACTTTCTCTTGATGGCAAGGATTTTCAACTCGTTGAGTTTCTGATAATCATCTGTGAAGTGTTTGGAGCATGTATTCCGAATGTCTCATGGACAATGCTAGTAGGAGAGAAAGTCACAGCTCATTTTGAAATTTCTAATGTGTTTTCTGTACTTTTTAAGTTGGGAAGTTCTAACCATCCACCTATTGAGTATGAGGCTGGATATGTGCCGCCCATGAGTGAACACCTCGGAACAGGGAAGGAGTTGTTGACAGTTAGGAAGGAAGTTAGCTTATTTCAGAAGTTAGCTTACTACGCTGTGGTTTCCACCAGTTTCTACAGAGTTCTCTGGAAAAGAGAATCAGTCGAGCTGTTATGCATCAATGCTGAGTATCCTGCTAGTTGGCATACCACCAATAGACTGTGTCCAGTTACTTTCTCTTGATGGCAAGGATTTTCAACTCGTTGAGTTTCTGATAATCATCTGTGACGTGTTTGGAGCATGTATTCCGAATGTCTCATGGACAATGCTAGTAGGAGAGAAAGTCACAGCTCATTTTGAAATTTCTAATGTGTTTTCTGTACTTTTTAAGTTGGGAAGTTCTAACCATCCACCTATTGAGTATGAGGCTGGATATGTGCCGCCCATGAGTCAACACCTCGGAACAGGGAAGGAGTTGTTGACAGTTAGGAAGGAAGTTAGCTTATTTCAGAAGTTAAAATGGCCAGAAGATAATGAGTTGAAAGCTCTCATGCTTCAAGTTTATTTGAAAAGGGTGGCAGCTGGAGATTCTGAGGCTACAATTTCAAGGAGTTCGGCAAATGAATTCCTCTCTCTTGGTTTCATTCCTGAAAGAACTGTGGTACAATCCTTTGGTGATGGTAGTAGACAATCCCAGGATGTCCAGGCTATAAGTCAGTTTATGATGTTATGTACGAGTTCAACTTCTCTCTTCCTCATGACTCTGCAGTGGTGATACGAGCTTTAGGATTACTAGAAGGAACTACAAAAGAAGGGGATCCTGAATTCAAAGTGGTGGAGAGTGCATATACATGTTTGATTGGAAGGCTTTTGGCAGAACCAAGTCCTGATGTGAGGAGACTATTGAGAGAAATTATCATCTACAATGACAAATCACTCAGGTGGAATCTGCTGGAAGGACTGGCTGCAACAATAACAAAACAGATGACTGCTGCAAAGGGAGAAGCACAGAACAAAGAAACATTTGCTGTTATTGAGTGCTTGATAGCCACTGAAGAGACTAAAATTGCACTAGAATTCTCTTCGGCTGCAGAAACGTTAATGAGGTGGAAGGTGGAAGTACAAAAACGTATGGTTCAGAAATCCGGGAGGTACTGGGAAGGAAGAGGCTCCAGGATGAAGATGAAGTTCAAGATCAAGGCTGTGTCCTATCACCCACCTTGAGGACAAGGTGGATGTTCAAGGGGGGAGATATGATAGGACTCCGGCAGAATAGCACTATTAATAATAAGAGTAATAATAATATTAGAATAGTTAGTATAAATAGAGATGGAGGGTAGAATAGAAGAGAGGTTGGAATTGTTATTTGGGCTTGGGACTTGGAGAGTGGGCACTCTTAAACTGCCTTTGTATTTCTCTCTCTACATTTTCTGTTATACGACAACTTCCACTGTTACGTACATCTTCCTTCTTTCATCTTTTACTTCTTGAAATCACTGTGAATTAGCCAGGTACCTAACAGTCCCTATCATATCTCACCCCCTAAACAACCACCTTCTCCTCAAGGTGGGTGATATGATTCATAGGAAAGAGCCATGATCTTCCGCTTCCTCTTCATCCTTGCGCCTCTCCCTTCCCAGTACTTGACTGATTGCTGGACTAGGAACTTCAGTACTAGATCTTTCAATATCATAGACATTTTAGCAGCAGAAAAGATTTCTAGTGAAGTATCATTCGTTCAGTAATTTTCCAGCACTCAATAGCAACAGATATTTTTTACTTTTGTGTGTCTCCTTATAGTTTCTATCTGCTGAAACTAATACTGTACTGGATGCCAACTTCTATATGTACCTTTCAACTTCTTCCTCTTTCAATTCTTTGCCTATCTCATTTGAGAAGGAAGGTATAAAAGGCTGTAACGAGCAAGGAAAGAGATATCCTGTACCAGCAGCAGTTCTCCTAACTATGGAACAGGAAATCCTATTTACCATGTAAAACTTCCAAAAATTGTTTTCTTGCAGGTAAGCCTTTTCCTTTAACAGAAACATACCTGGCCATTTTCAAGTCTTTCTTCCCCTTTACCTTTTCATTGACTTCAATATATTGTTCCACATAACTGCCCGCTGTTTTCTCAGTGATATAATTTGTAATTTGAGCTCTCCTGTCAAAAAGTCCACCCACAAGTTGGCAGGTGAGTCACGACTACTTGGACCGTTTCCATCCAGATGCACGAGAGCAAAAGAAACAGCTGGAGAATAGTCTTGATGATCCTTTGAAATATAAGGAGCAGAAAGTCCCTCTTCAACCTTGGGGTTCAAAATTGCTTGAAACATACTAAAAGAGTGCATCCCAGCACTCAATTATTGATTGTGCACTGCTGTTTCAGCCTCTTTATCATCAATAACAAGCCTTCCTCCTCTCACAACATCCTCCAAGTCAGAACCATGTGAAGTCGCTACCCCAATTTGAACATTGACATATGGTTCCCCAGAAATTGGGTAAGTTTGGTCCTCCTGTGCCTCTGGACCAGTCCTTTTATCATAGTGTATGATTCTGAGAGGAGGTATATCATATGCATCCACCTTTGTAGATGTTAGATAATTGATGTCCAGTGACCACCATAACTCACTCCTGCCCATTTCCTCCAGGATTATATATTTAGCAATTTCCTGCACAATTACATTTCCTTTGACACCAGATGTTAATTGATGGAGTTATTGTAGAGGAGGTCCAATACATTAAGCTCAATGTCTTTCTCAATTGTAAGGCTGGTCCCATCTGATGAAACCTTCGGATCTAAAATAAACAAGGATGAGGTACCGGCCCTCTGTAGCAGGTAGTCAAAACCTGCACCTCCATCTTGAACAGGTATACAAAGTACTGGCCTTTCCCTAACCTGTTCATCCATGATCAAGGCATCTGTGAATAGACCAGGGTTGATATCCTTGTCAATCATCAGAAACACATCAGCCTCAGCTTCCGGTCCACTGGTAACTGTAGATTGCTCCTCGATTTTGTCTTCTGGATTTGGTTTCTTGATTACAGATTCATCTGGCTTCAACTCGGTATTCTTTATGGACTAGGGAAAATCCAGCTCAGTGTGAGAAACATCTTGCGACAAAACTTGCGAACCAAAAGAAGTTGTTTGTGAACTCAAAGAAACGGCTTGAGATGAAGAAGGCGAACAGTGAGAGTCGACTGGCGATGAAGATGAGGATTCTTCTCTCACTCGCGTTGCCTTCTGCTGCGAGTTGTTCGCGGATGGGAATACCTGCACACTGAGATCTGCTGTTGCCGTTCGCTGCTCTCAGTGGTATCAGTGGTATCAGAGCACGCCGCTTCCTGGAGACAAAGAATCTGAATCATCCATCATCCCAGAGCATCAACAACCTGGAGTGATGGAGGAATTCTATGTCACCACAAATGGAAAAGAGTTTTGACAATATGATTCGACAGAAGGAGATGCACGCTAGGTTGGACAGTATAATGCATGACTTGGGGCATCTACATCGTAGCATGCATTGATTGAGGAACACTAGGCGTCATCCGTGATCTGACAAACAAAGTTCGTCGCAGTCGCTCACCAGTTCATAGACTGAGTCACGAATGGTTACTCTTAGTTCGCCATCGCAAACGGCTTCACTCAGTTCGTAGGAATCGTCGCTAAGCGAGCAGGATGCCTTTTGGCACAAGGTTGAATTTCCTTGTCGGAGGAGGGGTAGAGCGTGGATTCAGAAGGAAATAAAACTTGGGGGAAATTAAAAAATTGGTAGTGCCGATTAATTGTTTATCAGTATAAAATTGATTAACACCATGGATTCCATCATATAGAGAATGAATATAAATATATTGATATTTTGTAAAAATAATAAAGTTTTAATCAAATTTGAATTTCCTTTGTATTTCCCGAGGAAATAGACATTAAAGAACTATTTTCCCCAGCATTTCCTCTTTCTCTACGATTTTCCGTGTTCCAGACATCTTATTTGTTTATCTTCATTTTTAACTTTTAATTATATTTGCAGGTCACAGTTGGACATTTGGGGCCAGTTGTGTATGTGCATCCCGTTTCTCATGTAAGATACATTCTGGATAGCTCAGCCATGTTGGGAGACATCTATTTTATATCTTATGTTTACTTGTATGCATTAAGATGAGCTCTTATTTGTTGATTTCGTTCTCTGTGTATGTTTTAGGGTGTTGTGCAGAGTACCTCAGGGTTATCTCAAGTACCCTCATGTACTTCGTTAAATCCACTTCAGGTCAATCTCGCTAAGCATCAAGGTATAGTCTAAGATAAGAGACTATGTCATGCCCTACCTTTTTAATGCACAGTAAAACATTCATATGAAATCTATTGACTCCCGTGATCTCAGGATACGACTTAGTTGTGGACAAATTAAAATCATAACATAATCTTTGATAATGAGTTTTTCTATTCACAGTAACTTGTTTTGGAGGAAAAGTTTCAGCTCAGAATATGTCATTTTGTAAAACCTAGACAGGACTTCATGCTATTTTTCCATCTTTGAGACCATGCCCTGCGCAGAATCTATCTTCAATGATGATTATATTTTAGCAAGGGTTATTGTAAAGTTTATATCCATTTAATAACATTTTAGTCTGCGTGATTTCTTTCAAAACAACACATTTTAAGTCGGATGAAGTAATAATTCGACCCATCCTGCTTTAAGTACTTCCTCCTCCCCAAAAAATAAAAAAGGCTTCATCAGTTTGGTGAAGGCACAAAATGTAAAATTGGCAAAAGGTGTCACTATTAAAAGTCATGCAATCCCACTTATGAATTAAAGTATTACTACATTTTCATTTTCATTTTCATTTACCCGAGTGCCGCAAAGGCTCCCACCTACGATGGGGTAAGGGGGGTCGGATGTACGCAGTCTTACCCCGATACAAAAGCACAGAGAGACTGTTTCCGGATGACCCATAGTGAAAATCCCATCCAAAATTGCATGGACTGACTACTGTTTCATAACAAAGAAGCGCAGACAGTTTAGTGAGCCATTTTGCTTTATTCCATCATAATTTCAAGCCAAAAAATAATGAATCTTTGGGCAAGTATTACTACATATTACTTTTATTTAACTATATTATTACATTTAACCTATTAATTATTTTTGGGCAAGTTACGTAAAAATTAGCTCAGTTTTTTGAAATGGTTCTCCTTCTAGAACAAAAAAACAGAGGGAGTTTGTGTTTTTGGTTTATGAGCTTGAGGGGTCTCTTCATTTTCATTTTCATTTACCCCAGTGCCGCAAAGGCTCCCACCTACAGTGGGGTAAGGGGGGGTCGGATGTATGCAGTCTTACCCCTGTACTAAAGCACAGAGAGACTGTTTCCGGATGACCCATAGTGAAAATCCCGTCCAAAATTGCATGGACTGACTGCTGCTTCATAACAAAGAAGCGCAGACAATTTAGTGAGTCGTTTTGCTTTATTCCATCATAATCTCAAGCCAAAAAATAATGAATCTTTGGCTCCATTGCAAATGATGGAAAAGCTTGAGGGGTCTCTAATGAAACAAAATCTCTTACTGCAGGAAATACTGCGACACAAACATTTCCACTGCGTGTGGCTCCTCCTTTCATAGCAGGCGCACAGCAAACATACACTCTGCCAAGCCAAGTTCGCCTTTCTCATCCCTCGTTTCCAGTAATGCGACTAGTGCAAATCCCAGGATCAAATGGGGTTTTCAGCTCCAAATTTGCATGATATCAGCAACAGTATTAGCATCATTGGCTAGCCGTGGTCTTTTTCTATTGCTTATGTTCATTCACAAATTTGGGCAAGTTTTTTTCCTTTTGATTTTGCTCATTACAGCTGTTAGCATTTATTCGTTTTCATTGATTGCTTGTAAATTGAGTTTTGGCGGGAGCGAACTGGTAGTTTTATGTTCAAGCATAGAAGGGAAAGATTTTAGTTGCCAGAGAAGGGTTTTAGTTTTGAAATGGTTAGAGAGAGATGCATTACAGGAGTTTTTTCTGCTTTCCTTTGAAATACTAAAGGTCATCAAATAAGAATATTTATTGTTACACTTCCGGGATGAAATGTGTTTGTCAGGCACCTATTTTCACAATAGATCTTTTTTCGTTAGCTTCGCACCCATTTCATTCCCTGCGCACTAGGAGTGGACTCGGGTCGGGCCAACCGGCCTTGAACCGGATTGGCCCGCTACTGTGCGGGCCCGGACCGGCCCGGTGAACCTGTTGGTGCCTGGTTCGGGCCACCTGGCCCGGTGAGGTAGGCGGTTCGGGCCCGGGCCTCCTAAATCGTGAACCGGCCCAGCCGGTTCGGGCCTGGTCCGGGCCAATTTCTTTTTTTTTTGAATTTTTTTTAACTTTTTGGGTTGGGCTGGGTATGATGGGCCATTTGAGGTGGTTTGGGGTGGTTTGGGGGTGCGGGGGGAGGGTTGGGGGTTAATTAGGAAAAGCAAAAAAAAAATACAAGAACCGAGGCCCAGCCTGGCCCGGCCTGGACCGGACCCGGGGTTACCCGGGCTGGTTCTGGGCCTCCCCTTTCATGAACCGAGGCCTGAACTGGAACCGGTCCACCCCTACTGCGCACCACATACATTTGCTGGAGAAACGCACACTATGTCCTGATTGTGCGCAGCAGTCGGCAAGTTTCAGTTTTTCATTTTTCGCCTGCATGGGCAGTTCAAAGTTTGGCACAAGTTACTGAGAATGGAGTCCTGCCAGCAGCAATGTGTCATTGTGTCAACAACCTCTTAAAGTGAGGGGCTCTTTGTGCGCAGTTGGCGCTGATTTAGCTGAATTATATTTTTTATATTATATTTATTTTTATCTTCGACGCAATTTTCATCGTAGATCATTCGGCATCAGTCTCTCTGTGCTTTAGTACAGGGTAAGGTTGTGTATATCTTACCCCCTTATCCACCATAGGTGGGAGCCTTTGCGGCACTGGGGTAATGATGATGATAATTTATCTTTATCTTATCCATTTGATCTTTATCTTTTTATTCTTCTTATCTTCTTCTCTTTTTGGCTTTGATACCTTTGATCGATTCTTGTTAGCCGATCTCAAAATCTTTTGGCATTAAAGTTTGGATGTTGTTGGTGTTATTGTTTAGTTGAATTATCATGATTTACATCCTCAAATGCTTTGTCGGGTCAGAGTGTGGAGAGCGTGGAGAGCTTAATATGCTTCTTGGTCATCCCGTATCCGCGTGAAATCCCCATGCTGCACTTTTCCCGCACCATTTGAAAGTTGCGTACCACATCCCAGTCCTCGGGTCTTTCTGCGTGTAAAAGTTATACGCGATAACGGCATATTGACTTTTCATCTTAAAAATGGTAGATATAATAATTCTATAAATACTAGAATAGATGGAGATGAAGATGGAGAATGGAGAATGGAGATTGAATATTGGAGAAGTTTTGTATAAAAATGTTAGAAAATAGGAGTATTTATAGAAATTTTTGTACCCCCACCCCACCCCCACCCCCGGGACACCCTTGATGAGTTGATTCAAGCACCCAATGGCTATATAGCCGTTTGGGGCCTTGATTCAAGCCGCTTGAGCCTTTGATTTCAAATTTTTTATAAGTAGATAAATAATATATGTATTTATAAGTAGATAAATAATATAAGTAGATATATAATATATTGGAGAACAAGAGAATTTGAGAAGATGAAGATGAAGATAATTAGAGAGTAGAGAGTAGGATTTAGGAAGAGTTGGAGAAGAGATGGAAAAATGTTTAAGATTAGGAGTATTTATAGTTTTTTTTATCCCACCTCCATCACCCATACTACCCGGACCCCCCCGCCAGCCCACCCAATGACTATGTAGCCGTTTGGGTAGTTCCAGGCCAGCCTAACGGCTCTTTTGGCCCAAAACAAAAAATAAAATTGACCGTTGTGACCCGGGCCCGACCCGGCTGGGCCCGGTCACGTTTTGCCGGAACCGAGACCGCCCCCCGCTGCCCTCCCCCCCCGGTTCGGGTCTATACACGGTCCCGGACCGCCAAACCGGGCCAGTTTCGGGTCCGCACGGTAGCGGGCCGAGCCGGGTCACGGGCCAGGTGGCCCGAACCGAATCCACCCCTACTTATACGCACCCTTGTGGTGTGACCCTCCACTCTCACTTTGTCAATGTGCATTGGATTGGCCTTTACTCTTTTTTACTCTTTCAATTTCTAATTGTCATAAGCGAACACTTTTGTAGAGTGCAAACTAGTTGAGCCGAGCTTGAACTTGCGCATGTTTGAGTTTGAGCTTAATAAGAATGCACTAAATAATTCAACTCTATAAACAATCAGAAATGCATGTGGAATTTCTTTAGGCAATTCCATCTTTCCATGCGGTAAGATATATAGATTGTTAAGGAATTGAATGAAGTCTATACATGCAGACTCTGTACGAATGCAATTTAAATCAAAATTAAAGTTCAAAATTCTTTGAATTGAGTTGTTGACTATCAAATCTTACACCATGACTCTACGTTAAGTTACAGTTTCAACAACTTTCTTTGCTTTCAATATATAAAAATTGAATAACCACCCTCCAATAAACATCTACCAAAGAACACTTAATAATATATATAATCAGATTGTTTATTTCGCTATGGTGTGTGAACGTTAATTAAAGATAGCAAGAAAACTTTTTTTACCAGTTAAAGTGGTTTCTTTTGATCCACAAACTGTTTTATCACCCATTATTACAAACTGTTTTATCACCCATTATTCCACATGTCTCAAGATGTTTGTCATAATGAAGTACTCTTTGTTATCAATCTTTCAATATACTAAATGCATGTAAAGCTTTAACTTTGGATTTTTTAGAGTTGGGCTCAGTTGTTGAAGGTAATAAGTTTGCAAACCCCGAAAGAGAGATATTGAAGACTTAAATTTACCGCAAATTTTCTGGATTAATGCTAATTAATTAATTAATTACGGAATTAATGTTGGGTTAAAACTATTTATCAATATACTGCTGGGCTTAACCCTGATGGGGGAAAGTCGCCAAACCATTTTAAGTCGCCAAATCGTTTGGCGACTCTTTAATTAATACAGAGACCTGAGGGAAGCAGTTCGCTGGAGTGCTTTCGACACTCTTTGTTATACGGAGTAAGGATGTTTTTACTTGGACTGTAATTCGTCCCAGACCAAACCAGACCAGACCAGACCAGACCAGTTCAGACTAGACCAGGCCAAACCAGACTTGGATAGTTATAAAAATACAAAGAAACCAGACCAGACCAGACCAAACCAGACCAGACTAGTTCAGACCAGATCAGACCACCAGGGTTAATTAATACGGAGACCTACTTACAAGGGAAGCAGTTAGTATAACACATATGGGAAAGTGGAGCCAATTTAGAAGAAATCTTCTATTTTCTTTAAATGGCTAACTTTCATATTTTTCTTCCAATTTTTTTAAAACATATACCAAATTTTATAACTTTTGAGTATACATTAATTCGGAAAACATTAATTAACATATTCTGTAATTAATTAATTAACATTAATTCGAAAAAAAATTCTTGAGTATTCACTTGATACCAAAGGATAGTAGCATTTAAAACTCTGAATTGCATTTTCATGACATTGGAACATTATATCTAAACTTGTAGAGTCCGTTTGGTAATTCCTATTTTCAGTTTATTAGTCAACCTTTTTACCAAACACGTAAATTTTTTACTTTACGCGCTGCATCGGGAGAGGAGATAATTAAAAAAAGTAAAATTGAAGTTCCTTTTCTGGCTGGATTGATTGAAATTATCGTAGAGTACTATTTTAGGTATTTTCTCATGTAACTTTCTGTTAACCTTATTAACAAAATATATTTTAAATATTTCCCCTTATAATTCAGCACATTCAACCAATGTAATCACTTCAACTAAAATTTCATAAATTCTGGGAGATTCAGTCGATTCAGTCCATTCCAATGTTACCAAAAGGGCTCGTAATCTTCAAAAGTTTTTTTCTTAGAAAAACATTTAAAGTTTAAGTGTATATTCCATATTAAAGTTTGCCTTGCCTTTTAGTTTTACTATGTTTTAATAGGGAAAACATATCATATATTTTTTATTGAGACTAGCATTATACTCGTGCGGTACACATGACATAAATATTTTTTGAATTTACAAAATGTTGTTTCCCTTTTTAATGCTTTACACAATTTTAAAATAACCTTAGATATTTTTTTTGTTGCCTCAATTGAAAGATCTGAAGTTCTGAACTACTCCGGTTCATAATAAGCAAAATAACAGGGGGGAATACGTAAAAAGTACATGTGGTTGGGCGCATTTTCAGATAGGGATCTACGTTTCATTTCTTCACAAAGTAGTCCCCGTGATTTGATTCAGTTATCACAACAGGGGTCCAACGTCTAACGCGATTAGAAAGCACCGGAGGAAGGCGATGAACAATAACTCTTGTTGGGTCAATGGCCCAACAAGGATTGGCTCATAAACCCCTAAGGCCTACTGATGAACTAGACCTGTACAAACACGTGCTCGGGCCGGATTCGGGCCGGGCTTTATCTAAAATTTCCGCCCATTTATGTGGGCGGGCCCGGCCCGGCCCGAGTCAAACGAGCCACCTCCCATGTCCAAGCTCGCCCATAGTAGCGGGCCAGATAGTCCACCGGGCCGTCCATCCCGGAAAAGTTTACCATTGTTTAAATTTGTTGAAAAAGTTGATATCGTTTTTAAAATAACATCACCCCATTTTAAAAGTAATTAATGAACAAACTAATATAAGTATACCTTCATGATATACACAAACTATTTTGAACAATTGATCTGCTCTAGTAATCTAGTATGTTTTTTGTTTGACCGTTCAACGACTACTCCGATCAAATGGGAGTAAGGTTAATTAGATCTGCTTTGAGGCCATTAATATGATGGGTAATAGCAAGTAGGGTTCACTAACGGGAAATAAGTAGTAAGTAATACGAAGTACTCCGTAACTAATATGGTTCATTGTGAACGTACGAGTATAGATATAAATATATATAATATGTATTATATAAATTAATACTAGTAATATGTACTACATATATTATTATTTTTTCGGACCGGGCTTTTTGGCCCGAACGGGCCTACATTATAACCCTAGTCCGCCCATATTTTTTACGGGCCGGGCTCGGGCCGGGCCGGTGGGTAATTATACATGTCCAGACCCGCCCATTTATATGGGCGGCCCGAGCGGCCCGGCCCGTGTTTCTACAGGTCTACGATGAACGTCCCCGTAGCCCAAGCCAACTGGGGTGCCTTCCCCCGGATCGTGGCGAGGTTCGTCCCCAACAGGGCCAGTCCATATCATCAAGACCCAAGGGACGTACGTACCTAGGGGTAGATGGGTACATTGGCCCAGGAGCGGCACGAGACGCTCGTCTCGTAGGACTTTGGACCCAGCAAGAAACATGAAGCAAACTCATGGGGACGCTCGTCCCCACCTCTTGGTGGGAAGCCAAGATCCTGGCGGGAAACACATTTAATGCAGAAGATTTGGTGGTTGGCATCAAGCCATCCACAACCCGCCACATCAGCGCATCTAACTACCCATTGGTGGTATAAATAGTAGCATTTATTTCATTGTAAAGGGTTGGCAACTTAGCACTCTAGCATTCTAGCAATTATATCAGCTCATAGCGTAGCTCTGTACGAACGGTCTCTCGGCTTTGTAATCATTTCAGTGTATTAAGACTTCTTATTTGGGCATCTTCTTACTTGTTGATCACTTACTCTTCACCTTTCCATTCGAAATCCTTGAGTTACGTGTTGGACCTACAGATTGATGGAATAAACCTCTACAAATCTATTTTTCAAAAGTGCCTAGAAAATAAAAATATTGAGAGATGTGCCTCATCAAGGCGACCTTCAAATCATCTTCTTTCTTGGATTTTATGCTCTTTGTGGATTACTTTTTAAAAATTCATTCACCAATATCACTTTTTTGGTGGACTTTCCGACGATAAGGGTGATTGGAAACAAACAAAAAGATAGTATGAAATTCTCCTTGACGAGATGAATCACCCAATATTGTTTTTTTTTAATTTTTCGAGCACTTTTGAAAATCGAGCTTACCTTTCATCGCCTTCCTACGTTAACTTCGAATGACGTTAAGTCTCTGACCCCTCCAATGATAACAAAATCAAAACACGGGGATTCCTTTGTTAAGAAATGAAACACAGGCCCCTATCTGAAAGTGTGCCCAACCACATGTACCTTTTTCGTACTTTAAATTGGTTATTATAAACATACTTATCTATTTGCAACTTAAATGAATTCGAATTACACACTTGATCATTTCCCTCTCTAATTCAAATATTTATATCTTCACATTGTTTAAATAAATTCCATCATTTGCAATGGAGCCAAAGACTCGTTATTTTTTGGCTTTGGAATATGGTGGAATAAAGCAAAATGGTTCACTAAACTGTCTGCACTTCTTTGTTATGAAGTACTCCCTCCGTCCCGAAATAAATGTCCTGCTTTCCCAAAATGGATGTCCCAAAATAATTGTCATACTTTGAAACTTTCCTTATTTGGTAAACAAATCTATATAAAACAGTGTCAAACAGTGTCGCTGCAGTGCCAAACAATGTCGCTACAGTGCCAAACAGTGTCGCTACAGTGTGAAGTCAACTTCATTTTCATCTGTGTGAAGGTCAAAATAGGACAATTATTTCGAGATGGAGGGAGTAGCAATCAGCTCATGCAATCTTCGAAGCAATTTTCATTATGGGTTATCCAGAAACAATCTCTATGTCCTTTAGTATAGAGGTAAAGTTGCGTACATCCGACCCCTCCTTATCCCACCGGAGGTGGGAGCCTTTGCAGCACTGGGGTAATGATGATGATGAACATTGTTTAAATAAATTACAAAATGTTTGATTTGTTAAAATTGAAATTATATTAACCATACATGTTTCCATTAAAAATAACTGAAGATAATTTTCGAATAAATAGAAAAAAGAAGATGATATGTGAGCTCGTCTAAGTCTAAGTTTCAACTGTCTAAGCATTAGTTAGGAAGTACTCCCTCCGTCCTGAAATAAATGTCTCGCTTTCCTTTTCGGTCCGTCCCAAAATAATTGTCTTGTTTTCTCTTTTGGCAATAATGGGTGTTTCATATCAATTCACTTTTTTCTACTCAAATCTCAACTACAACTTTTACCTTTTCAACAACTTTCTTAAAACTGGTGCAAAAGGAAACAAGACAATTAATTCGGGACGAAGGGAGTAATATTTTTCATGACTCACAGTTAACCAGTTTATCAAATAATATGCTTCATCTTCAACATTGTAACGTCTTTTTTGCTATATACAATTGTGTTTTTTAAAAACTAAAGAATATTTATCAACGTTAGTGCTTTTAAATATAGCGGAAGAGCTTTGATACACCGGTTATTATGTTGTCGTGTGACCGAGAGGCCACCATTTCAAGTCTTGAGAACGGCCTCTTGTCAAAATGACAAGGGAAAACTTACCCCTTTATACACCTTGTGATAAGACCCTTTCCCGTATCCTCGCCTTGCACGGACGTCACTGTGCAACGAGCTGCCCAGTGCCCAAGTTTTGAGCTCACTATTCGGGCACCGAAGCAAAGATACTTAAATATGGAAGGAGAGTTTAAGGAGATATTCCTTGAAAATACCCCAAATTTGGTTACTATATCTGTTGCCATGGATATGACTGAAGACAAAGCAGATCACTTTGAACAAAACTCTGGTTGCAAATTTGCAATTTCAAGAAGCTTCTTGGTAATATCCATCATCTTGAACAGCTTATCGGGCTTATGTACTCGCAAAGTATCTCAGTATATTGACACAGAAAGCAAACCTGTGATTCACCACCATCTCAAAGTTATTGAACTACATGTCTACATCAAGTTAGTTTTGAAGATTTGGACGAGTTACTTGTCGTTCTTCATTTGATTGTAGGCTCCCCTAATTTAGAGCAGCTTCATATATTGGGTCCCACATACACAACTGACTGTGAGTATGTGGATTATTTGGAAGAAATTATTGCCAACTGATTGGACATTCAAAAAACTAAAAGCTGTGGTGATGACTGATGTCTTCGCCATCTTGCATGACACAGCTTTTATCAAGTTCTTGCTTGCTCATTCCCCAGTTCTTGAATCAATGACAGTTTGCCCCAAGTTTCGGCATTGTGGATAGAACACTAAGGAGCTGATTGACTTGCTTAGTTATCGGCTTATCGCCGTGCCTCCCCTCTTGCTACTATCCAATTTGCTCAAACGCAGTCCTAGACACACACTAACTGTACATGGTTGTCATGTGTTCAGTTAATTTTAACTTGTTCAGAACTTCAGATTGTATTGCATAATTTATTTGGGAACTTCATGTCAGAATTGAGCTGAAGGTTAAGTTAAAGTAATCAGTTCCCATGTAGTTTTTGGTTTTAAAGCTGTAAACATTCTATTGGGAATTTATGAGCAAAAAAGTATCAGAAATTATAGAATAAACCTAAAGGTTGAAGTGCAATTTTATCTCATTCCAGTGCACAAAACAGTTTAATGTTCCATAATTTTCACTAGAAACTGATTTGTTGAGGGCAAAAAACATTGTGTTTGGCAGAAAACTTGACAAGAGAAAGAGAATGCCTACCAAGTTCCAACGGTCATAGAAAAGTCCGGAAAGGGCTTATGCTGCAATAATCAGAGGATGTGACCAAATCTTTAATTGGGCGGTTCACGGGAAAAAAGAAAAGAAAATAACAATAAAGCTATGAAGGGCTATAATTGAAGTGAATATTCCAAGCAGGATGGATTTATACACATGAAACTTTGAAACATCACCTTGTCTAAATCTGTCTCTAAATGAAGCAGAATCTAAAATCCAGTCAACAGCAACTAGCAGCTTTTCATGTCTCCTTTGTCCCTTCGAGTATAACATACTGCCTTGCACAATATATATATGGGGCATCAAGAATCTAGGATTGCTTCTTCTACTAAAGACGTGCCTCATCACTTTGTTCTGTCTCTGGGAATTTTATCTCAGTAAGACTTATTTCTCAGACCAGCCTCATTGTCAGACTCATGTACCTTGTTTTCTACCAATTTTTCCTGCAGGACCTCCATAATATAGTATTCTATTTCAGTAAGCAATTTGCATGCAAAAACCGAAATGCACCCACACACAGGCACACATATACACGGACATGGAAGTTATGAAGATTTAACCAACATATTTGTACGCTATTATCAAATCAAGACCAAACGATGACAACTATTAACATAAGACTTGATTGATTGAAATTACTGATCACTTTAAAAAATTGTGTTTTTCTGATTTTTTTATTAAACCTGATACACTAAGTGGCACATAAAACACGAAACAAGTAACTGGATTTCAAAAATATTTTGGATACGAGATGTGGGGGGAAACACCTAAATACTATAAAATATAAGGATACATTTATACATATTTTGCCATATATGTATACAAGTGTTTTCATTTATATAAGCACATAATTTTTCATATAACTTTGTTTCATAACAAATACGGAGCAATAAATATAGTCTACATGTTCAAATTTATATACTACGTAGTATTATATATTAGTTCATACTTAAACATAAAATGCAATACATTTCTAGCAACATACTCTGTTATGTAATACCACAATGATACCAAGAAGAAATCCCATAAAATTTCATCAAAGAGTTGAAAAAAAGGATACTATTTTCCAATAAGTTTCGGAAATGCTAAGTAGCTATGATTCTATGAAATGGATTTCGCAGTTATTTTTTATTACAAAACGGCCCCGAAACGGGAATTTGAAGTTTCTGGTTTTTTAACACGCTTCTGAGTTTCTGAAATGGGGAAACACGAGTCATGATGTTCCTGTGCTTCTTAGTATGTGATCCCGGAAGAAATTCTGATTGAAAGTTAACATAAAAGTAAATAAAAATAATAATAATAATAATAATAATAATAATAGTCATAACTCATCACAACAACAACAACAACAACAATAATAATAATAATAATAAAAGATTCCAAGTTCACCATTTTATAAGTCTTAAGTTGATAGTTCCAATCATTCTTGTCCTCATTAATAGACAATTTTCATCTTTTAAATACTGATTTGATAGTTAGACCTACCTTTCAGGTCCTGAAGCAACAAAACTGCTATTTTTAATTATATTTACCTGTAACAGCTTAGTCATCTTGCCAGCACCGTAAGCCATAGATTTGAATGGATGTGATTCAGAATGGTGAAGACCATTGGAATCCGAACCTTCTAGAGGTTCTATTGTTGGGGATTTATCTACATTATCCTTCATTTTCCCTCCCAAACTGAAACTTTCTGGTGATGAATGGGTATATCCATGGCCACCACCTATTTGATTTTTCACATTTTCTACTCCTCCTTCATGGGTAGTTGATCCATCAGGTGGTAACATAGCTAATGGTGCAACCATTTGCACACCTTTATCCCTTATAGTTTCTATAGAAGCTTGGGATGCATTCATAGGTTCTGGACCGGCACTGGGCGAACGGTTTGTTAGGTTAGCAGGCTGGAGCACAACAGGAACCACAGTTCCCCTGGCCCCCACGGGAGGGACAGAAGGGGCCAACACTATAGATAACTGATTTCCTTTTGCTACTTGATGTATAGGAGGAGAGGGAGGAGGTGCATTGACCTCTGAGACCCTTCGCCTGTATTTCCTACGTATACGTATTTTGTTTCCAACAGGAAGATTAATTTCGTTTCTGCGTATCATCTCAATATGTGGGGCAACATCATTTTCTGATGTTATAGGGACATAGTGTCCTGGCTTAAAGACAATTCCCCTGAGCTTGGTATTGTTGTCTCCAATAGTAACACTGAGCAAAAAACCGGCATCAAATGTGGCCTCTATCACACCCGTAACTGCCTGACCGACCATTCCATCTACTACTACTCTAGTGGCTGGGTTTTCTGTTGATGTTTCAATGCCAGTTGGAGCTCGAGGGAGATGATTTAGGCTTTGGTCTTTTCTTGGCCGACCTCTTCGGCGCTTCACTGGGAGAGCTAGTTGGCTATTGGAGTGGTCCATTTGAATAGCATTGCTCATTTCCACCACTTATGAAAAAATAACCAGGCTTATCGTTACTCCCTTGTAGCCCTGCTTACAACTTTCTGTAGTACTGTAATAGTGAGTACAGCAATTCTACATATTTGAAAGAGAAGGCGCCTATATACACTACACATAGGAGCACCTCTGTATAAAAACACTCCATATAAGAATAGCTTCTACTCGATTATTCATAAAATGTTGATTCCACATTTGGTCAGTGATAAATATGAATACCCTCTAAAATGCATTTTTCAAGCACACATGCATATATTACTTACATTGATATAAGAGAAATAATTATAAAAGACTCACATTTAGACACTTAGCGAGTTAGCGATGCAATACTTAGCACTTATCTATTTAGAGTTGGAAATAAACAGATTCTAGTATAACTTTCAACTAATTTACATTTTTAAAGTTATTCCACTGAATTCTTTTGGGGCTAAGGCTTGGATGTTGTTGTTGTTGTATTCCACTGAATATCCTAGAAAACTATGTGTGCAATCCCTAATCCAGATCCATTTCAAGCTACATAATGTGTTTTTTCTAGACAAAGAATACTGGGGGTTTATTTTATATGTTGCTCTTTTTGGGTGTAAGGAATTTTTTTTTGTACCAATACCTTTAAAAGAAATTGCCTTATATAGGACTAAAACATAAAAAATGCCAAAATAGGAGTGTCTATGTTTTATAGGAGTGCCAAAATAGGCTCCTGTTCTGAGTCTTCCACATTGGTCTAATATCTAAAATACCATTGCGCACTTTTATTCATATGTTGTAATCGAAATGATGTTTTTATACATTAGCTTCTTCAGTCAATCAAGATGACTTTTTTAGTTTTTAGTGCTAATTGAGATGACATTTTTACTCATATTTTTCAGCAAGTCAATATGCATACAAAATGCCCATCAAGGTGGCATTTTTTTTGCGGCCAAGATGAGATTATTGATGACAATTTGACTTGATTTGGTAATTTAACATGATAATGACATTGTGCCTTAATAATGGCAATATAATGCCATCACGGGTGGCACTCTTGTTTCAAGGTGGCATCTATCGTTGGACAAATGCGGACAGATTGTTTTTTAAATAAGGATATTCTGGCATTTACTCTAACTTTTACTCCTACTAGGTGACACATAAAAGGCATGGTCCTATTATTGCACTTTCACCATGTTTTAATCCTATGTGGATCATTTTATCTACCACGATCAATCACAACCTCTCAATTTGAACACAATTAGTTTGCAAATCCATCCAAATTCCTGATTATCCTTCCACCGAAAAATGCCAATTACGGATCAAGAAACACCACAGCATGGATACTAAAACTTTTAACCTGATTAAATTAGCACGTGTGAGTGTGCACGTGAAAAGAGATCTACCATGTTATACGTATCTGTGATCCAACAAAAGAAACATGCCTAAAAAAGATTCTAATATATGAAAGCTGCTAAATTGCAATTCTTGATTATTTCATTAAAACACTCCAATTTGGCATATCATCCTACGGCCGTCTCCACACTCACTAGAACTCCCTTCTAACATATACTCTGAAGCTTGCCAGTGTCAAAATCAAATACTACAGAGCAAGCGCATAACATAAAACATAGAGTACCAGAAGATAAGAAAGACAATAAAATCAGTTCAGCTTTCATAAATTTAAGTATTTAACTTCGATAAACTTGGGTGAACCTAGGTTTAGTAAAAACTAAATGAACCTACAAGAACTGAGGTACATGTTCAAGAAAATCATTTACATTATTACTAGGTTAACCTTGGTGGAAATAAAAAAAATTGGATGGATATAAGTCTATATTAAAATCGATATGTTGCTTTTAAGGATAACCCAGCCACTGAAATCACCAATTCTAATATTCTCCATAAATTGACTTCCGGAGGTTCTTCTAGGTGAACCCATGCTCTTTGAAGGCATATATTCTTGTTGGCGAATAACATTCCAAATAAGGAGACCCCAGAATTAAATGTGGAAGAACTTAGTCTCCCCAAACCAAGAGGATCATAAAAGAGCAACAACTTTTTGTCACCCTAAAGATAGTACAAATAGCAAAGGCAAAACTTTCAATACAAATTGTAAAAAAAAATGTTAAATTCAGCTCATTATATATCTGCCAGAAAGATGCGAGGTAGCAACCCAATTAGCATGCAGCATTATATGTTGGGTATAGCAAACAGCGCATAATGTTGAAAATTCTAAAACTAAGCATAAAAAATCGAACAGCAGATGAGCAAGGCGACAGTTTGAAGCATGAACCTACCTCAGAAGTGAAGTTTTGCAGAGGGGTGACCCTATTTGGAAACCCTATAATTCCTGGGGATGCGTAGAATTGAAGGGTTTTGAGATGGAGTGAACTCACAACACCAAGATTACGACTTTTTAATACTCCATATAATTTATTAATTAATTAAATAACCTATTGACAGAAGATGATTAGTTTCAGTTCCTTTTTATATGGGCAGGTAGATATTCTTGGTCCAAAAAGTGTAATCTCCCACGTCACGAGCCCCTCATACCCCGACCCGACCTGACAGGATTTTTGGGAGGATGTTAATCACGGTGACTCAGTCGGCCCAATGATGATAAGCATTTTTCCCGTGCGCGTCAGAGGCCCAGCCTTATTTCAGGTTCTGTGACCTCCACAGGGCCGCTGCGGGTTTCGAACTTTGGTCACTTAGTCCAAATTTCCCACCACTGAACCAACTGAGCTACCCGTGCAGATAGATATTCTTTCGAATGTTTATAAATGTTTTTGCTTTTAAAAACTTTTAGAATGATTAAAAAAAATGATTAATAGTAATAGTTGATAGTGTTTGATAAAATATGTGTTTTATGTGTAATTGAAAAGGTAAAAAGAAGTTTTCAGCCAAAAGTCAAGAGATGTTTTTTTAAATAGAAGTTGTCACTTGAAAATAGTAATTTTAGCTTTTTAAAGTCAAAAGACGAGAAATAATTTTTTAAGCTTTTACAAACAGACCTAAGATTGTTTGTTTCATCTATTCTTTTTTGTTCATCTCTTTAAAATTTTCACATAAACTACATAAACTTATTTTTTAAATATAAGTGGGGTGGAGGTAGTATTAAATAAGAAAGGTGTATTGTATATGAATTCTGATTAATTTTTTTAATCCCTAACTTTAAAAAATTATTATATACTAAATTCATAGACTTTTTATGAATGAATTATGTTAATGCATGAATCTATAGATTTCATGTGAAGTATATTTATCAATTTTATAGAAAACACAAATTTTAACAAAAACTATGTTAAGTAATATTCAAAAACCGAAAGGTCAATCACACAATTATATAAAACTAGTATTTAACTCGTAAGTTGCGTGATATACCAAATTAATTATTATATTACTCAAAATTGCAATATACTATGCATATGTTACATAATATTTATTATACTTACCAATAATTCCTAGAAGTGTACGATCTTATTTAAGAGAATAACACAACAAATTATAGTGTGGTAACATATACTTTATCCGTTCCGCTAAGATTGTTCCATTTTACCTTTTCGGAAAATCTCACTAAGATTGTCTCATACCAAATTTGGTAAAGTTTGTGTGACTCTAAATAATTTCTACTTTATTCTTACTTTACCAATTTAATATCAACCACACAAACCAACTTTTCTTAATAATCGTGTCACCTTCTTCTGTCTCAATCTTAGTGGAACGGAGGTAGTACCAAATTTGGCACATCCATTTTTTGTACTTTTAGCGCAGTTTGAATCTGTTAGATATACTACGCATATTGTAATTAGTATAAGATAGTTGGTGTTCGGTTAGTCTGTTAGTTAGTTGAATAGTTGTTCTCTATATAAACCCTTTGTACAGTTCATTTCATTAACAATAAAAATACATTTCATTCATAATTCTGGCTCTCTCTCTTTCTAATTCTGTCATGGTATCAGAGCTTTAGCTCAATCCAATCATGGTGAATTCTTCATCTACTTCATCCTCAGCTACTGAAAATCCTACTTCTCCAGTAATTTTCAATCATCCTCTTCCGATCAAACTTGACTCTAATAATTTCTTATTCTGGAAGCACCATGTCAAATCTGTTATGCGAGCACACAAACTACTCAAATTTGTTGAAAAACCACAAATTCCTGAACAATTTCATTGCCGATGATGATGGCGGAACTAGAACGGTGAATGAAGCATATATTATCTGGGAGCAATGGGATCAGATGCTCTTTTCATGGCTTCTCGCATCGCTTACTGAATCACTTCATGTTCGAGTCATTGAGTGTCGCCACTCATATCAACTCTGGAATGAAATTCATAAGTTCTTCCAGACGCATATTATTGCGAGCTCGCCAACTCAAATCTGAACTCTATAATACAAGTAAAGGTGATCGATCCATTAATGAATATCTTCTGCGCATTCAAAATATTGTTGATAGCCTCACAGCTGTAAGAGAACCTATTTCTCCTAAGGATCACATTAATGTCATCCTGGAAGGACTTCCAGAGGACTACGAAGCACTTGTATCATCTGTTTCGTCAAGAAGCATTCTCGATCCAATCACTCTCTCTGAGCTTGAAGGTCTATTGTTAGCTAAGGAATTTCGAGCTAGAAAACAACGTGAATCCTCACAACAAAACTTGCTTTCAGCAAATGTTGCTCGCTTAGAAATCTCCACTCAAAATGATGATTCCTCATCTCAAAACTCTACATAAAATTCCCTGCTTATGTAGCTCACTTTCCTAATTCAAATTCAAATAACAATGCCTCCTACATAGGCAGAGGTCAAGGAGGTCCTTTCAGAGGACGTGGTGGCCGTTCTGGAGGTCGCAATCCAGTGGTTTGCCAAGTCTGTGACAAAACTGGTCATACTGCATTGGTGTGCTACCATCGATTTAATCCTACCTATACGACCTCTATGCCTGGTGCTTCCAATCCATCCTATACTCAGCAAATCAATCCACATCTTTCACAGCCTTCACCCCTTTCAACTCAACCAAAATTTCTAGAGAACTACAATTGGAACCACTCTCCATCACAAACATCTAATTCCTTCTACCAAATACCTCATGTTTCCAATAATCCTCCATCTAATTCTTACACATTTCCAACAACTTGGAACCAGCAACCTCAAAATCCTACACCTACTGTTGTTTGGGCATTTGCTAATCCCTCTATCCTTGGACCATATCCACAATCTACCAACTGGTTTCCAGATTCAGGGGCTACACATAATGTTACTGTTGATCCACTTAATCTGCAACACAGTGAACTTGCCATCACAACTGACAAGCTCTTCATGGGCAATGGTCAAGGTTTGGATATTAAGTCTATTGGTTTCTCTTCCTTTTCCTCACCTTATCATCCATCTTATACTCTTTTCCTTAACAATATTCTTCATGTTCCTTCCATTACCAAAAACTTACTAAGTGTTAGTCAGTTTGCTAAAGATAACAATGGTTACTTTGAGTTTCATCCTCATGAATGCTTTGTTAAATCACATGCTTCTAAGCAGGTTCTATTACATGGCATTCTGGGTGCAGATGGTCTCTACAAGTTTCAGTCCCTTCCAGCTCTTGCTGATAGCCGTTATATTTACTTGTGTTTAACACTTTAACATAAGTATTTATAAGTATTTGTTGAATAAAGGAAGAGAAATCGGGCAAATACCTTCAGAATGAATGCTAGAGCATAAAACATTGTGATAAAGAGCTTTTTGGACCAAGAGGATGACGTTCTTCCCATAATTTGAGTATAACTTATTGTACATAACTCGAAATCACTCGATTCGAATTTCATGTGAATGTTAACTAAATAAGGTACAAATTTTATGCAGACGTCATTTCCAGAATATGAAAGGATTAAGACTCAATCAACCAATAAAGTCAGATGTTTCTGGTGGGATTTCAGGATGCATACCTCTCAATGTTTTATGCATATCTTTTGATAGGATGACTAAAAACACGTCATTCAAGTTTTGGTGGATAGAAGACTTCATTATCTACAACTTTGGTGAATGAATCATGTCCAAATTCGTAGCGTAAAATCTCCAAAATCCCAGGACAAAACCGGCGCCGGAATTTCACTAAACCGGCGCCGGTCTGATGATTTTCGCACATGTAACCGCAAACCAGTAGCTTACACGGCGCCGGGTAGGCCTGAAACCGGCGCCGGGTTGGTCGGATTCTGCTAAAACACAGCAAAGTGCAAGAGGATTCTTTATGGGAAAACTCTATCTTCCTCATTTCTTGATCAAATATTGCTCCATACCTGATTGTTGGGCTCGAATAGACTAAAAGATGTCATTCTTTAACCTATATAAAGCCCTCAATTCATCATACAAACACATTCCATTCCATAGATTAATCCATAGTTTTTATATTTTGTTCTTGCAATTGTTCTTCAAGTTCTTTGGAGAAGGAGCCATTTCTCTCCTCTACAATTGGTTCTAGGTATTTTTTCTTGTATGTTATTGTATTTCCTTATTCTTAGTTACACTTTTGTAATTAGTATGAGCTCAAGAAGCTAAATTCTTAGCTAAGGCTAGGGATGAACTTCTATGCCCATTAGGTGTTTGATAAAGTTCTAAACCAATAAATTGTGATTTATCCTTTATATATTGATTGTTTATGACTATGGTGTACAACATAGAAGTATGTTAAATTTAGTTTATACTTGCAATTAACGTTGAAGTCTAAACAATGAACATTAAAGGATAAACATATATAGTACCGAGAATAGAAATATATCCGGTCTTATATGATACGGGTGTGATGTCTTGATATTCAACGGGGTTTTCGGTAGATGAATGTAAGTCGTAACGGGACTTACACATAACGAAAACCACGCTCCCGCTGCCTTAATCGGAATTGGGAATATATTAGCAACATCGTATTCATGATTATTGGCAAAGAACTAATATTCACCCCTATTAAAGCATTTAAGTGATTCACGGAGCCTTAGTTGTTATTATTCATCTTAAACTCAAAATTAGTTAACGATTATCTTCTTGAACAAAAAGTGAAAAACCAAAAATGTAAAACACAAATCAAAATCCCTGCACTTTACTCATTTCTTCATTCAAAGTTATCTACTCACGGACTAAATTAAACAACGCTTCCTTGTGGATTCAACCCGGTATTTTACCGGAATTTATTACTATATCGGCACTTGTACACTTGCAAGTTTAGCCCGGTCACTTACTTCCTGTCAATCTGGTTCTCTAAATAAATCTTGTAATAATGTTCAATCTTGTAATACCTCTATATCTTGTAATCTGTGACATTTGAGGCTTGGTCATCCTCATCTTGAGGCTCTAAAATTTGTACTGCAATATTGTAATATTCCTACTGTCAATAAAAGTGCAATTGATTTTTGCTCATCTTGTTGTCTTGGTAAAGCAAATAGACTCCCATCTTCCCCTTCTACCACTATATTTCACTCACCATTTGAACTCATATATACTGGTCTTTGGGGACCAGCTCCCATTCAATCTTTTGA